TGTGGGGTTAGCCTATGCTTGCTCCCGCAATTCATGCGTCGACCAGCATGCCGGTCGGCTTTGGTTCTGATGCACCCAGAGCACGGCGGGCCGCTTCACGCTAGCCGGGGGAGCGAAGGTCAGTCTGCCACTGGCCAAGCGCCTGCTCCGACAGCGCACCAACAACGGCATGCAGAAGCGGGACGTAAAGCCAAGAATTAGTGGCCGTGGCAACTCCAACAACGGGCCCGAGCCCAGTTTATGCCTGGGACAGCGCTGCAGGCTCACCGCCATCATCGGCGGCCGCACGTGCAGGCCGAGCAGCGTGCAGGCAGTGCAGGCAGCGCAGGCAGCGGCGGGAGCATGCAGCCTGGAGCGCATGTGTACTCGCCACCGCCCGTGAGCCTGTCGAAGGTCCACACTTGGGTTGTCCCGCAATGCCGGCATGGGTCGCCAGCTTGCTGAGGGACGGCAGTTGCGACGAGCCCGATGTCTTCGCCGCACCGGGGGCATAACCTGCCGGGCTGCCAGTGGCCCGTGCACCGGCGGCAACACAGCACGACCACCCTAGGTGGGGGCCGAGGTTCTGGCTCATCGTTGCCTGTGAACTTGCGAGCGGCATAGTCAGGCACAACCTGGCGGGCTGTGGACTCGCCAGAAAGACGCGCAGGGATGGGGACGTCGTGCTGCACGCACAATTGCCCAAGCTCAGCATCTTGGCGGCCGGTCCATCCGCCGCGGATGCAGCGAGGGCACGGGCTGTGCACTCACAGCAAGTCGTCTAGCCCAGTACCTTGTGCACCATGTTGGGAATCTACTGTGTGCGCGGGCTGGCCATGGCAGGTCAGGGCGGACACCAGTGTTGCATCGCGAGACAACATGGTCCAGGCCGCGGCGGCCCTCTGGCGCCACACCGGGTGTGGTGGTATTGGCGAGCCACGGCTGAGGAACCACTCGGCTTTCTGGCCCCATTGCTCCGCGCGCAACTCGGACCCACGCCCTCTCAAACACACAGCCACGCCGGGCCAGCACGAGGGCAGGAAGTTGGGTGATCGCCTGGCGCTTCGATAATTCCGCGGTAGCCATGTTGGCCTTGCACCTTGCCCACCATAGCGTGCTCGCGTGATGGGGAGGGGAAGGCGCAGGCAGCGCCGCAGAGCGAGATGCATGGGGTCGGGCATGAGGGTGGACGTTGCGTTGGGGTATGGCGGCCAGCCATGCGCCGGCATGCGGGCCTCGCAACATTGCCTGCACACTGGGTTTGGCAGCCGGCAAAACCACCCGCTCTTGAAAGGTAGTGTGAAGTGCGAAAGCAACATGTCGCTGCCAGCCTGGCACACCCAGACCGGGCTCCCCAAGACGCCCAATACGCTGCGGGCTGGATGCGCTCCGCGTCGAGCAGACCTAGCCCCCGGGGGCGGGCATCATGGCGACTGTGCGTGCATGTGCAACATAATGATCCCAGCCGGCATCCTGGACTTCGCCACGGCCGCCCAAGAGCTCGACCAGCGTCTGCCAGACCGCGTCATCATGGGCACGCGCATAGCCTGTGATGAGCGCTGGCGAGACGTTGCGCAGGAGGTGCTGGGCGCGTGGCGCTGCACAAAACAACAGTTACAGCCAGGGGAGTGCTGCCTGTCCTCGCAGGAGCTCGGCTTCTGCCCGACGGCGCTCATCCTGTAATTTAAAAGTGTACCAGGAGATTCTGCTGTAAGCAAATTTTACATTCAGTCCCTGATACTTTCCAGGTGCACCAGGCCAAAAACTGTTCCTGCAGTAAGCAAGCTCGAAAATCGATACTTTAAAACGTGTAGGTTTCCCAGCTTCTACAGACAGAGGTTTGAAGTAAGCAGCTCTAAACATCTATCCCTAAAAAAATGGATACCTTTTCGGGATTTTAAAAATGTGGGGTATTATACTTGTGTTCCGGCGGCGGGATTTTATAAATGTGGGGGGGAATTCTAAATGTAAAGTGGGCATTATTGACAAATCATGCACAACCATGAAACACCATGAAAACCAGTAACAAAAAATCATGGACATGAAGGAACAAACCTGCAAAATGATGAAAAAATTGGACAATTGAAAGAGAATCATGCGATGTCATGAAAATGATCATGAATATGATGACGATGAGATTCATGATAATTGATGAAATTGATGAAACATGATGAGCAATCCTTCCTTCCTTGTTTCTTTCCTGCTGTCCTTTTGCCAGGTCAGGGTGTACGGTGGAAGCCCAGGCATCAAACAAAACATTCCGGGCTGGTTACTCCCCAGAAAATAGTTTACACACACACACACACATATATATATATATATATATTACTTTGGCTATATATGTGTATGATGCTCTGCAATGATCTTGATGCTTATGAAGTTATTTAAGCGCCCATCCCCAAGTAAACTACTACTCTAAATGGAATACTAGTGCGAGTAACAGTATACGTACTGACGCTCTGGCGTCTTTCCTTCCATCCTGCTTCTTTGCTCTCTTTTCTCCTTCCCTCCTTCCTTCCTTCCTTCCTTCCTTCCTTCCTTCCTTCTCTCCTTCCTGCCAGGGTATAGGGTCCAAGCCCAAGCATCAAAAAACAATTCCGGAATTTGCTCGCCGGGCTACTTTGTTGGGGCAGCGACGTCGGGGCGACTTGTTGCCGGAGGCTGGGCAAGCGGCAATGGCGGCGCCCTCTCAACGGAGGCGAAGCATGCCAGCTCGCGGCGGGCAACAGGACAACGATCGCCATGCAGAGCGGGCGAGCTGCTTGGCCTCGTCGCTCCAACGGCCTCCGACCTCCGCGGCTAGGCCGAGCTCCTTGTAGCGCGCGGCCTTACGCCTCCAGGCAATGCTCAGAGCGACACCATGTCGGGAATCTACTGTGCGTGCGGGCTGGCCATTGCGGGTCAAGGCGGACACCAGTGTCGCATCGCAACACAGGGCGACCCCGTTCATCGTAGGGTCTAGGCGGCGGCGGTCGCGTCACACCAGGTGCGGTGGTGTTGGCGAGCCACTGCTGAGGAACCGCGGCGCTTCATGCCCCTCAGCACAGGGAAAATAGGCACAGAAACACATCTCCGAGGTCCAGTTCCGCAGGGCACTGCGCATTTCATTTAGTTGACCGGTACAGAGGCTGGGCTAATAGGGAAGGGTGGGGGGGGTTCTTGTTTAGAACCCCCCCGCTGTTGCGGGGGTGCTGGGGGCAGGGCTTCGAACAAGAAGCCCCGCCCTCTTGTCTGGTCCCGTTACAATGTACAATTACTATTACGATTACTGTTATTTTCTGGCTGTGCGGGTAGGGGACTGACAAGACAGCTATCTGCAGGCGTGAAAGGTCCGAAGAGAAAGAGAAACATGTTTGAATGCGCTGGTTCACGACGGGCAACCAACGTGGCAACCAACGCGCATTTGCAACAACGTCGACCTGCAAAAGTGGGAAATTTCAAGCAACAAGCCTGCGGAGTTTCTCGGTTTCCTACGTTGGCTGCTGGGTTGAAGCGCAGTCGTGAGACATGAATTTGCCTGCCAGTTGCTTGGAAACCCCGAGGCTGCAGCAATCCTGCTATTGCTAGTGGGCCCACGTCTTTTTCTTGGACTGTTTTGCACCTGCTGACTTGAATCCAGGTCGGTTGCTCGGCGGGCGCAATGGCGGGCCTGTGCTGTTGGTAGGAGCAGCGCCTGGATGACGTTTACATCGTGACGTCTCCCTGATGGTCGCGGCAAAGTTGCTGCAAACAGCCTCCATTTGTGGTTGCTGACACCACGTGGCTTTCGCAGCCATGCACCAAGCAGCAGCCTCAACCCCGCCTGCGCCAACGTGTTGCCAGCTCAGATGTGTTGCTGTCCTTGCCTTTTTCGTAGAGCCCGGAAGCTGCCCTCTAACCCTTCCAAAATGGGGCCTCCCCATAGCCTCCAAATCCTGCGAGACCCTTGAAAGCAACCTTTCCCTCACATACAAGGCATCACAATCTTCACCAAACACAGAGGCAATGTGGCTCCACACCTTATTGCAACTTGTCACTAGCACCTCAGATTGCGGGTTCTTTTAAGGAGTTCTGGCCAGGGGAGGAGACCACTTGGAAAGAAGAATGCAATTCACTTCTGTCCATCGCCCTGGAAGAAGCATGCTTTGGGATGGGCCCACTCTTGTTTGCTTCGCATTCCCTCTCTGGGGATTGGAGCTGCTGCTGCTAGCCTGCACATCAGTCTAGACCCTGTGCACGTCCATCCTTTTGCAACGCTTTTCGGCTTTCGCGCTCATCTTCAGCGCTTTGGGTGAAGGACATGGCAAGGGCCCTGGAACGAGCTGAAGTTCTCCTTCAGCCGGGTCCCTGGCTCTCAGATTGCCTACTTGTCGAAGTAGTCTGCCTGTCACAAATCCAATGGATGCAGATCAGTGTAGTCAGCTTACGGAGGCATACTTGCTACTGGCCTTCACTTTGCGTGCAAGCAAGTACCCGGAAGAACTTGACAAGGCGCAGTTCACAGCCTGCAAGGCGGTCCCTTGGCAACTGAGCGCTTAGAGTACACCGAGAGCGGGGCGAAGAGACTGTAGTTGACTGGCGTGATGACCTCGAGGTGCATGGAGGAGCTGATGAGACTCAAAAGCAAAATAGCGAGCACATAGTAAGCTCTTGAGAAAGCTGAGCTCGCCACGAAGGACCAGCGCATGAAGATCAGTCCAGTCAGCGTCAGGGCACTGGTCCTCGATTCGTGCTTTAAGCAATTCGCTGCCATCTGCCGCCGACGACTTGCTAGACTTGGATCCACTTAGAGCTGTGCATGGACAGGCTGATCTTGTCAGTTGGTCGGTCATAATCCTCAGTGGCACCACAAATCGGGACCTCCCCCCCTGCTGATGCAAGCTCAGTGTCTGATTGGTTCCAGGGCGTCTGAGTGCTGGTCCATAAGGTTGTTTATTGAGAGCGCCCACTTGAAATTAGGAGCCTGGTTCTACCCACATCCCGTGAGTCTGTCATGGCAGGCTGCAGACTGCTGCGGTCCGGACCCAGAAGTGAATGTAAAATGGGCCAGCCTGGGGCTTCTCACATCGCGAGATTCTGCGAGATGCGAGAGGAAGCCAAGGTGCTGGATGGGTTGCCATCCGTGCCAAGAAGCCGCTGCCCCTGACATGCGAGTTGGGTGTGGCAAGGTGGCAGGTGGCAAGTTCGTGGCAATCTGTTTGGCAAGGCATGATGAGGCGCACCCTTTGAGGCTGTTTTGAAGAGGCCTTGGCTTCCACGAGTGGAAGCTTGCTTTCATGTCTGGCCATCTGGGCAATGAACGTGCTGCCAGCGACCATAGCACCGATACCTGCAGCCACTCCTGCTGCCATGATGCCCGCGTTGCCTTAAGAAGTGGGTGCTTCTGCCCTCATGCCGCAAGAACTAAACAACCCCGCATGCTTTTTAAGGCAAGCCACGCACTGCCGTCGGGCCCGTCTCCGGCTCCGTCTGCATCTTGTACTCGGCCCACCTGGCAAGAAACGGCTTGGACACTGTGAGGTGGAAAAATGCGGGTGCCGTCGGAGCTGGTTGCCCTGCGCCAGGACGTTGGCTGTATGACCTCACGACTCACCAACCAGAAGAAGCCAGTCAGAATGCAACCTAGCAATGACCTCTGCAACTCTTGGGCTCAGGCAGGAGGCTAGGATGTAGTTGCGGGGTTGTACCGCCCAAGCAAAACGAACAAATAGTCCGCTGTACAGGATCTCAGTTCAGTTCAGGAATGAACCATTCAAGGTCGAAATTCGCCTCTGGACCCTAAACCGAGGAGGCCCATGAGGCCTCTTTTAGGCCCGGGCCTGTGTTGCGGACATGCGTTCGTTGATGATCTCGGGTCCTTTAAGCGCAGCATCGTACCTTGCACAGCCAGAACTGACATATGAAGCAAGCATTAAGCAGCGGGGGGTACATACCAGAAGCTGCCAAACCCCAATTGGCCACAGGGCCCCAGAAGTGCGTGGTCATGGGCCCCGTAGGGCTGTTGATAAAGGCAGCCTGACAGATTTTTAAGTTGGAAGTAGCAGAAAGTATAGAGAAGACCTCCTTGTAATGTTAGGATCCTGGCCAGAGCCATGGCTGAATGGAAAATGAGGTCCCTCCCACTCCCCCCCTTAAGCCGGCTTTCGGCGGCTTCACATTCTCAACTGAAAAGAGCCAGTGCAAGCGGCATCAGTATCAAGACGCCCTAGCCCGCATGCCGAATGCATGGTCTTTGCACACAATCTTATTTAAAGTGAGAAGGGTCTGCCCACTCTGCAGGGCTGTGCACGAGGCACAGCAAGCCACAGAAGTGGGAGTGCGGCAGTGCCACCCAAAACTTCGCGCCATCGAGTCACGGACAGTTGAGGCTTCCGAAAGTTGCCTGAGAAATCAGTCTCAATGTTTCTGCTACATCTCTTATGACTCCGGATAGCCAGATACCCGTCTTCTTCATCGTGACTGACTTGAGATTCAAATCTTGTGCTACTTGCCTTCTCTTTGAAGCATATCGAATTCCGTGCACGGAGTTCAAGTGGATTTGGTGCCACTGGCTTGCGGATTTTGAGATTCCAGGCACAATCAAAGCTCTTGCAAGAGCCCTGAATCCGGAGACTAGCAGCACCAACCCCTGATTTAAGCGCCGAAGGCGAAGCAACTGGCCAATCAACAAGCGGCTCTGCGGAACCAAGAAAAGAGCCGAAGCGAAGTCAAAAAAACGACAGCATGATGATCTTAACGCGTCGCAGCGTCGCTGAGCATGGACAGAGAGTTGGCCAGCGCTCCAAGACCTGACTGCTTTTGACAAGATCTCACTTCGGCAGCCTGACTAAATTGCTGGCGGAGAGCTATGACACATATAAAGCTACGGTACACCAGTAGAACTTTGGAACAGCAGCTCTCAATTCTGGCATGCCCAGTCTGCAATGCCACGACAGCAGTTCTTACCTCTCCATTGCAGGAAATGCTATGCTCCGGCTTCCGCACAGCAACAGACCTGGCACTGTCACTCTTCAGGTCATGACTGATCGACTGATCTGTGTTGCAGTTCATGTTGCGACAGTCTTGTCGCCCCCGACTTTATTGAAACTCTCTGCGGACTCCTCATGGGCCCTCCGGACCACCATGCCCCGCCCTGGGACCAGAAAGGCCATGCACCTCGACTCTCTCGCGCGCCAAAGAAAGTCACGTATCTGGAGATTTGGAGTCTGAGAGACTACGCGAGAGGAGGAGCTTGTCGATGGTCCTAACTGCCATCCCAAACGGGAACGAGACACGCAACATGCAAGAAATCACAAAAATTTGCTGACATTCGGGCATGCCCATCCTTCAGCTTAAATGGAACATATGCAGAAAGCTGCGTCAAACTCGCTTCCTGCTGAAGGATCCGTGTCTGACAAGCCATGGCCTTGCCAATTTTCGGAACCCTTCCCAGCTGCTGAGAAACTCAAATTCTTTTCTTCGTCGCGTCGAATTGGACCTGTCTGAACTTGCCTGCGCTTCATGATTGCTAGCTGCTAGCTGCTAGCTTGTTTCCTTTTCTCTTCGAGGGATGGTCGTTGCATTGCATTCAGGCTGCAAACTGCTTCGCGCAGGGTCCATCGAGGTTCTACACTAGCATGGTAAATGCGGCTACCTGCGGCATCCCAAGCCCAACCTTCACGTCTCGACGAGCGGTTGGCAACTGGCCGTCATGGGGCCACAAAATCTCAGTTACAGCGCATCTGAACGCTCAATCATTCCAGTGCCACGCACACACAGCGGGAACCTCCGCCACTTGCTGAAGGGATCGATCGGGGGCTTATTTGGATGCCGTGCCCATCCACAGTCACAATATCATGAACTCCAATTGTCAAAGCATTGTGCCGTGCATTGCAACACTAAGACCGATAGGATGTGGTACGGAACTCTCAGCCGCTGCAGGCTGTGGCATTTCTCCCTTCAGCTCAGATTGAGATCCAACATCCAGCGACGATCTCGGGCATCCTGAGCTGGGGCCAGAGGCTCTGAGACTAAAATGCAACATGTATCAAAACGCGCTGCAAAGGCAGACTTCTGCTTGGGCAAGATGTTGTTCTGCTTGAGCATGCGAATGATAAAGCCTGCGCTTGAAGTCTGTCAGCCGAGAAGCCCCGACTTGGCATGCCCGGACGGCAAGACCTGACACTTGATCTGGTGATTTCGTACGCAAGCTACAGATATGTAGGCATAGCAGCATGGCTGTAGAGATGAGATGTCGCCAGACCAGGACCCAGAAGGTTTGTTTGAGTCCGTTTGCTGGTCCGATCGGCTTCACACGTTCGAGAAGATCATGACCTTGAAGAAGAAATGTGTCGCAATCTGCAAATCAGCAAGCAAGGGTGGTCTGGAGCGTCAGCCCCGCGTAGTGTTGATTCCTCATGCTGATGATGTCTTCCTCTAGGTCTTCTAGCATGCCCCGGGGATGTCTTTGAGGGTAGCGGCGAGAGTGATGAAAATGAAAGTCACGGTCCGGCAAACAAAATGCGTGTTGTTTAAAAGAAAGGCATGAGTCGAATCTGGAAACAGCATAGAGACAGAGAGAGAGGGAGAGAGTCCGAGTAACATTCTCTCACGTTGAGAGCGAGGTAGCTTTAACATATGGCTGCAAACGGGGTGGATGGTTTTAAAATGTCTGCACGGGGGCGTTCCCTCTGTCACTTCATCATCGCAATGCGGTGGACGTCTTTCACATAATATGGAACAGGCCTATGGTTTTAATTAGAAATGGTTCGGTACCTGGCTTTCCCTCCATCACTCCATAATCGTAAGGTGAAAACTGCTGATGCTGACATACATATCCATATCGCGTTGTCGCAATGTGAGAAAGGGATGGTTTTATCATACCTGGCTTTCCCTCTTTGCAGGGGGGGGGGGTGTTTTTCAAACATGTTTCTCCTGGAGTTGCCTTCGATCACTGTTCCTTCCTTGCCCCGCAAGGTCCTTCCTTGCCTCGCAGGGTGGAAAAAGGCGTGATTGTAACACATTCCAGGCGGGCATCCTCATCTGGGGTTCCTTTTTTCGTGGGGGTGATGGTTGTTTGCACGTGCGTCTCAATGGCATGGGGAGGGGGGGCCTGCCTCGTGCCTTTTCTTATTCTTCCTGACTCGTGCATCTCTTTTGCCTGACTTGTGCCTCATTTTTTTCGCAACTCGTGTGGTTCTTCTTCTTGACTCGCGCTATCTTACCCCTTGCCATTTCTTCATCCTTACTCGTGCTTCAAGAGTAAATGCCAAGGTGCGCTTAGAAGACAAATCAGGAGATGTAAATGGACGCTCAAGCGCTGTCATTCTGGGGCAATTACAATGCATTCTTGCAAAGGAATGTCTGATTGAGACATGCAGGGGCAGGTCAGCTGGATAACATGCAAAACTAGTAACTAATAGCGTTTTAGCTGAGAGGCTGAGAAACGCAGAGTACCCAACAACTTGGGGTTATTTCTTGTTTGGCTTGGTGCCCACGTTTCTTGCTTTAGGGGTGTTCCAACGTTCAGAGACCCCCAAATCGAGACATGTAAGGGGCCGGTTTTCTTAAGTGCACCCATGTCAGGATTCTAAGAGTGAAAATTTGTTGATAAGAAGTCTGGGGATGGCTTTCTTGCTTTGGTGTTTGGGAGGACTTCTATGCGAGAAGTGTAAAGAGCAATGCTGTGTATTGCGTAACTTGTCATGCTTCCTAACCAACGACAACAAGAAATGAACAGCTATGCTTCTTTTTTTGGGGGGGCTCGCTACCTTGCATAATGGGTGTTGGAGGCTATGTGGCCATAATGGATTAAGGTGCCTCTGTATGTCAGACATTAAAAGAACGATGGGTCTGAACTCCAGCCTAAGAAATGGCTCAGAAATGAAGGGAGCCCAATCAGAAACTGGAAATGTGAAATCACTCCATGGCTAGTGAGAAATGTCTCGAACGGAGATGCGCAGTTTCTATGCTAGTTCTGCCCTCAATTTCGGCCCTCAGCCAGGCAGCCAGTCTTAAATGCCTGGCAGTCTGGAGGGTGCTCGCGAACAAACGATGATTACGGAAGACTTTCCAGCATTACGAAGACGATTCGGATGTTTTGAGTTGACCTTGCGTCCGTGGCTTGCTATTATTGGCTTCGCTGACTCTTCAATAGCGTAATTACGTGGGTGTCAGCGTCAGCTGATGCTGTCTGCCTTTGATCATGACATGAGACGTACCACATGCAGTTTCAAAGATTCGGAGAGTCTAGCAGTTGACACAGTTGAAAATGGATGCAAAAGGCTGCAGCTGCAACGCACTAACGTATGCTGCGCATGCTTTGCGGGAAACAGGAGCCCCAGCTGTTCTCCATAAAACTTGCCACATCTTGCCATGCCTTCATTGGAATCTTCGCCGCCTCTCCCGGGAGGACAAGGGTCGGTCGGGCCTCGACTTCCTTGACAGGGATGGCAGAATGGCACAGGCATAACCTTGAGCCGGGTCAGTGCCTGCGTGGCTGTGGTAAGGGCAGCCGTCTGCGCACTGAGGAGGAGCTCCAGGCCCCAGGCATGGTCCTACAGCCGTGGAGAAGTAGCATGCACCTGCCCTCTACGCCTTGGCTACTCAGCGCTCCTCCATCCGCTCCTCAGACATGCTGCCTGGGGCTGCAGTCCACACTCTGCGTTCAACCCAAACACCTCAAACACCTCCAGTGCCTGCAGTTCCTGCATCCTCTGCGTCCTCCGTACTAGCATCAGAAGCCTTGCAGCTCAAGTTCATTCCCAGTGGCGTCATAGCCCTAACAAGCTTCCTTCAGACCATGCAACAAGTACAAAGCAAGTGCAAAGACTGCAAGCGGTGCGGGCATGTGGGCCTCATAGACATTCTCCTTATCCTCAAGCAGTTTGTTCATTCAATTTCGCTCAAGATGAAATGCAGCATCGATCCTGCAACTCGTCCTCTCTTTTGCCAAGTCCTGCATGCGATCACAAATCCAAACTTTGACTTCAGCCCCTGACAAGGACTTGGCAACGAAAGGCGACCAGCCGCATCAGTCCTGACAGTCGTTTCGCTCGGGCGTCGCGCCTGGCTATGTGATCGGCTTACTTCTGAGATGGGCTTCTCACGCGTGCAGTGCGATTTTGGATACATAGGTCTCGGCAAAAGTGCTGAAGTTGTTTGCTATTCAATTTGAAAAATTCAACGCCGCCAAAAACATGCACAGCCCTTATACAGGTCGGCTGCACAGCTCCTCCTCACCATGTGCAAAGGTGCAGTTGGTGAAGTTGCAGGAGCCCTGCGTGATGCTGCAGAGTCACTGTTTGGATCTTCTTTTAGGCCTGTTGGAACTTAAGCTGAGCAAAACGTTGCTCGAGGATCAGTGGTGAGCACTCTGAAAGCTGTGCGATCGACCCATGGTCCACCAGGTCAGTTGGATTGGAAATGCGGATCGTACAATGGGAGCGGAACTGCCAGCTGCCAGAATGAACCAGCCCATCTAAAACAGTTGCATCCCTTTCAGAGGAAGCGCGACTGGCACGCGTGGATAAGTCTAGGAAGAGAATCAACGTACGCCAGGGCGAGCCGAAAGCTAGCCAGGCTCTGTCCAGCACTGGAGTAGGGTAGAAGAGAAGGAGGGAGGGTAAATGCCAGCAAAAGCACAAACCTCACTAAGGGGCCTGGAAAACCCTTCCCAGGACCTCGCCAACTCGATTTCACTTTGCACTACACTCTCCTTTCCCCTCACTTTCCACGCCCTTCTCCTTCCTACTTTCCGCATTCTTAACCTCACAGAAACCACTCCAGTTTCCACTCCACTGTTGCTCACTCTCTGCGTCACTCACCACTCCACTCTGCACTCTCCGCTCCACTCTCCAGTCTACACTCCACCCTCCCCTCCATTTCCAACCCCTGACTCTCCACCTCACTGTCCACCTTTCTCCACAGCACTTTCCCCTCACACCTTTCCGTTCCTTTCCATTCAATTCCGGCATGGCACAAGTAGCGTAGTCCCTGCATTTTCTGCCAACGTCCAAGAGCCAGGACAGGCACGAGGATGGCGAGTCTCACAGCCCCATCCCAACCACACAGTCGTATGCGATGAAGACACGACCAGGTAAGAGCATGGCAAACCGAGGGCGCCCATGCCTGCGACAGTGGGCATGTCTTACACGCGGTGAAGACACGAGGCTCCAAAAGTGGTCACAGTGGCCAGGATGGCGACCCCAAGGGGTCTCATCCCCGTCCCTTTTCACGCGCAACAAGGACATTACTCTCCAAAAGCCGATGAAGTTACCAAGATGGCTACCCCAAGGTGCAGCATCCCTGTGACTGTTGGCACTCATTATTTTTTCACACGCCACGAAGCAGCAACGCTTCCCCGCCCNNCCCATGCCCCGTGACTGTTTGCACCTTTGACACGCGGTGCAGCAACGACGGTCCAAAAGCGAAAACGCTTATAGGAGAATAGTGACCGCGCGAATGCTCTGAAATGCTTTCGAACACTTGTGGACGCTTGCAGACACATGTGCAACGAGTTTGGTCGGCCATGGAGTCCCAGATCACAACACTGAAAAACAGGAGCCCTTCCGCGGAGCACTCAGCAATAGGAAGGCTACGACATGGAACCAAGCAAGAACTTACTTGTTGACCACAGAACGTCGGGAAGACTATCAAAGGAGAAGAGAGGTTTGATTCAACCACGAAGCGTGAACTTACCAGCACTGTGTCCAACAAAAAGGGGGTACATTAAGAGCAGCAAAATTGGATGCAACCACAAAGCAAAATGTTACTCGTACAAAGAGCATGCAAAGAAAACAAACACCACAACAGGAGGAAGGCGAGATGCAACGACCAGGCATGACATGCTGGGTAATTGGTACCATGACCATTCAAGGGCATGCACTATCAAACAAGGAGTTGGGACCTTCAATACAACCAACCTCATGTCATTCATACTATGCCCATGCATGGGTAGGTTTAGCAAACACTACAGGAGTGGCGAGGTCTCAATGAAGCAAGAAATTGCTTGTTTCAAGACCAGGCAAAGGTCATGAACACAACAGAAGGAGGGAAAGGTGCAATGCAACCACCCGGCATGATGATGCTTGTCGGATAGTGATCACTACAGAGAGGCCAGGGAGGTTTGACGCAACGACTGGCACGGTTTAATGGTGTATTCATGACTTTGCAAGGGCTGTGAACACTAAGGGGAGCAAAACCTTCAACACCACCAGCATCATACTATTCGTATTGTGACCTTGCTGGGGTATGGCTGACGTCTGAACAAGTGGCGAGGTTTGACACGACTACCACACCCGTACCATGACAATACAACCGTCATGAAACGTGAACGCTACAGGCGGAGTACGGCCGGGAAATTAGATTTGACCACCAGAAACGACGTCCTGGGAGTTCAGGAATAGAAAGTTAAACTGCTTATCAACAGGAGGAGCATCAAGACTTATGGAACAGACACATCAACAGGTGAAGAAAAGATAAGAAGGCCAGGAGTGGAAAGAGTAGTCATATTTCTGAACAACATATATATAGGTGGGACAACGCAAGCAGCCATATCTCACGCTGGAACTTATTTTGGAACGGTTGAGGGTTTACAATTTAAGGGCTTGGGGAACCTGGGAGCTTGATGTGCCATACTCCTAAGCAATCAGCACTCCTGATGCTGTTATTCTTGATATT